CGGAAGATCATCCAAAATAAATGATAAAAGTGATAACATTATGGAATGAAAGTATCCATTCTCAGCAGGTTCCCCCACTACATAATTAAGCACCATTTTCAAAGTTTTTTTTTGCAAATTATTCAAAGAAAAGTCGAAGAAGGTCTCATCGTCTTGACCGCTGTACCAAATTAGGTTACCTGCGAATGGGTCATACTTGCTGCAGCCGCTCGTTTCACAAATGACCATTTTATGGCCTCTGAAGAAGCGCCAGGCAAATTTGAAGCATAATAGTGGTCCTTCATAACCGGTTGGGAGAAATGTTTCGTTTCCTTGATTTTGGATTTGTTGTGACTCTTCCTGATGAAACAGGATCTTCGAAGGGAGGGTGTTTCGGTCCCCATTACGGAGCATAAAAATCAGATGATTGTTGGAATTCCAAATTGGGTTGATGTATAACCCGCGAGTCAAGTTGAAGTTTCGTTCGGACAAAAGTGAGGAGCCGTCGATTTCCTTTGAAGTGATGCTCATATATCTATCACAGTTCCCAATAATTTTCGACTGATGGTTGTCATCAACATTGACACAGTATCTAGGAATTTTTCGCGATAATTCATCCTCTGGATTTATATCCATACTTATGGAACCTGAGCCTCTTCGGGCACTATGCGGTTGAATCTTTTTCGCTTGAAAATCTGTTTCAAAACCTTGCACTGAAACCGAATCCAAAATTAAGTTTAGTATTTCTTCACGATCGTTAACGAAAAAAATAAAAATTTTCCTGTGGTGGGTAGTTACTTCCTTCAACTTATCGTGATGTGTCATTAGTATGGTTTGAACTGAATCAGCGTGTAAAGTTCGAATCAAATCAGGAACAAATTTATCTGCATTGAAATTTGCGATGTACAACAGCTTTTCGTCTGAGCCTTGAATTGTGCGGTCACAAACTTTAAGAGCAAGCGAGATTACGGGAGTGTGATTCTGAAAGTTTCCTCTAAACTGCTGGAAAATATCCTTCGGAGCAATGCAAACCGGTACGACTAAAAAATGAACGATGCTTAGAGAACACTAGAACATCATTAAGACTTAACTCAGGAGTTTAAATAAAAATTACAGATTACAGATATGAGCTTAAATATTAAAGAATAAATTATACTGAATATGAGGATTGGGGGAATCACGCACTATCTGCTCAGTTCTCATCCGTTTTAAAAGACGGATGGTTTTCGCTAATCAGGGTTGAAATATGAAAACACCGCTTTTAATTCGTGCCACTTAATGACTTAAAACTGCACGCAGCTTGTTTAAAACCACACCTCTGTAATGTCACCCTCCGTTAGTTTCCTTCACTAAAATTACGTGCACATGTGGAACAGAATACAAACATCTTGATGGAATATCCAATAAGTCGATAATGTATAGTGAATAAGTAATCTCCTTCCCAGCTTTGCAATACTTCTTTGCACTTACTTATATGCAAGGTCACCTTTTCGACCTACAATGTTTTCAAGTGTGAGACCCATGAATAATTTAGCCAAATTGTTATTATATTGTTATGCTTTCGATGTTTTGCAGTAATGTCAATATTCCCTTATAAGAAGGTAAACGAGCAGATACGCAGGTAGTCTTAGGCACTGTTACAAGTTGCTGGATCCACTTTTGCACGCGGCAAAATGAATTATTCTTGTCCTATACATGATTTGTATGCGTTCAAGATAGCGTCTTTATGCAACTATTCAAACTCGACGAATGTCCTTTTTTAATCCAAAAATCCAATTAGAAGGTATGAAGGGGGATGTTTCTCTTCTCTTACTGTCAATTTTACCCATCGTCTCTTAATAATGAGGCTGAATAGCTGAATAGCTGAATAGCTGAAGAGAAGATTCATCAGTCTGAAGGTCATCAAAATAGTTTTTTTCGGAGACTTTAACGAACGGCAGCAAAACAAACTCAATTTTTTTGTAACCTATGTTATCGGATTGTTCCAAAGTATTACACACATTTTCTGCTTCTGAGTTTATCGCTATACTGTAAGCTCCTAAATTTGCACAGGTACCTGGTAACGCTTAGTTCCAGCGTTTTACGGGGCCGATTTTCATAATGTTTGCGGTTATCGATAGGGAATTGTCTCTAGATGAGCCCGGTACATTTAAATTTTGAAAAATAAGATCCAGGTCATTTTATATTACGAGGTAAAGTTGCGATATCTCCCATGTAAACAATGTAAATTTTTATTGCTTGTCACAGTTCATTTGAGCGTTTTACGAGGCGTATAGCCATGATACTCGTATTTGCGGTCATCGACAAGTGATTGTCCCTAGATGAGCCCGCTGTAATCAGATTTTGGAGATAGTACCCAGGTTTTTTTATATAAGAGTAGATCAGATAGCTTAGAAAGAGGGGCAAAATTTGAAATCCCAGTCACTGAAAAATGGTGGAAATTTCAAATTTAGCGGAGAATTGAACAAAGCAGGAAATGTTGAATATGAAGGTACGCTCTTTTGCTACAGACTATATATACAAAAGTGACAAAACGCTCCGTTCCGTTAAAGTTTGTGAAATTTGAAATAAATGACGATTTTGTATACGATTCTTATTGGTCCAAATGGTCCAATCGCCCCCGGTCATAGGGAGATCGAAAATTGAGAGTCGGGTCTGAAAATCTTTTCATTTTCTTTGGTCGTCCTTTTTTCGAAGTGGGCCAAAGAGAGCGTGGAGCGCTCTCTGGGGGTTGGGCTGCCTAGCGGCCAGGGGGCATAGCCCCCTTGAGTTATGTATAAATTTCAAGCGATTGAGAGTTGGCTTATTTCTCCTCGGAAAATTTGAATAGGAGCGGAAATTTTGAAATGTGCGATGCAGATACTCCGACGGTGAAACCAATATACGAGTACAGTGGCGTGGCGTGAATTGCGATCTATCGATTGTTATGCCATATAAACCTATGGTAAAGAATCGATTATTAAGGTGTTCGCTGCGAACACCCTGTTTATCGATCCTCTTCCATTGGTTTATATGGCATAACAATCGATATATCGCAATTCACGCTACGCCACTGTACGAGTACCAAGTTTCTCGGACTAACAAACTTGAAATTTCTCTGTGCGAAAAAAACTCTGTGAAAACTTCAAGGAATGATAATGATTTGTTCTCCCTCAAAATGATAAATTGGGAGCGGAGATTTTTTGATTCTGCAAACGAATTTTCTCTCCGGATCAAAAAATTTTTTGTGCTACGGAGAGAATTATCTCTTTCCGGAGAAATTAGTTAGTGTTCCGGGGAAAAATATTTTTTCCTCGGAACCATGAGTTATTGCTGGGAAGGGAAAATATTTTGCTCCGGAACACTAACTAATTTCACCGGAGAGAAAATAATTCTCTCCGTAGCACTTAATCAGTTTCTGTAACACAGGCGGAAGCCCAAAAACTCATGAGCCCTAGGGTCTTGTCAGATCAAAGAAAGCCAGGGCTCATGATTTTTTGGACTAACGCCTGTCGAACAGAAACCGATTCAATTGTGATAGAGAAATTAGTTTGTGGTGCTTTTTCAGAACGATTCAACACTATTGCTACGGCCCATAGCTACGAAGTTGAAGGAGTTCTTAGAACGCGCTATAACTCGTGGCCGTACAAACCAGTTTGTCAAACTTAGTAATGTCGCTGCCTGGTCACTACTTATGAGCAGTGGTGAGGCGTGAATAATCGATTATCGATATTTCCTCACTCGAAGGTGTGGTAAAGAATCGATTGCCGAGGTATTCGTTTCGAACACCCGTTTTACCGATACTTTTCCATGGGTTTCAATCGCGCGAAGCGCTCTCTGGGGGTTGGGCCGCGTAGCGGTCAGGGCTTATAGCCCCCTAGTATTTGATACACTTTCTTACAATTGAAAAGAGTAACTTGATTGGAGCAGAAAAATGTTTGAATGCGTTTCCAACGCATTTTTTGATCGCGGTTATTGATGTTGAGAGTAGTACTTGTTGCCTGAAGCGACTCTTGAAGGCGTTTCATATGCAACTTCTTATGTCGAGCCCAAATGCACGACGCGATCAAATGTCCGACAATGTTCCGACGCAAAATGTCATAAAGTTCTGACGTGAACATCTGTTAGTAGGGTCTCATCCATAAGGAAGGGTAACATGGCCTTCCCTTGCATGCAAATGTTTGATAATCATTCAATATGTACCACAAGACTCAGAAAAAGAGTTTCACATCACCCCACCTCACCTTCCTCCTGGTGGTTTTTTGCAGCTTCGCTGTTGTTTTGTTTAATCGGACGTATTTATGCTGAAAGGAACTGTATGTATAGGATCTTCACCTAACCTAGGAACCCAGGAACCTAACCTAACATCATTCCTTTTGGCATGAATTCGTCCAATTGTTACGAGCTAAAATTTCCGTCTCAAAATTAGACCAATTTGAATTTTTGGGAGCTCAAGGGGATTTAAAATGGACACCGTTGCGGGGATATGATCTCCCGCGATAGCGAGAAAAACAGCTTGTTGTTCATACTGTGCCTGTTGTGGATTCCTGGTTCTACCTTATCTAGTTGAAGTTACTATGTTCCTTTTAGGGTCAAAAGGAGGTCGATCCTGGTAATGGTGCATTATTGTAAATCAAGACCGAATAATGGATCATGCAACACTACATTGTAACGACGACTTGAAAAGTAGGGAGTGGAATTCACTATGAGCATTGTAAGAGCAACGAATCTTTCCTCTTCATGTGGTTACGTGGTTACACGAGCCACTTACTGAGAGCTATTTCCTCTGCGCGCGAGTTCGTAAAATTTTATTGGAGAGGCATAAGTTGGAAACGCAAATCTCAAAGCGGCATAGATCACAAGTCCAAAGCTCAGGCAGGTAAATAGTTTATTTAATCTCACCTCGCCGCTCAAAGACACCGCCGCGCAAGTGTGATTTCGCCAGCTTAAAGCTCACCCACCTGAAAGCTCAGTCTCTCTTGCAGCTGCGAAGCTGAACTTTGCTCCCTCGACAGCGATACTCACGTTACACACTTGTCAGTAGCCATAACATCGAAATCCAGACTTGTTTTCGTAACAACAAAGCAAATTTAAGAGTCTTAATGAACCGCGCACTGGGGCAATGGAGCGGAAAGTTTTTATCGCCTACGTCTTTACTCACCTCACTACGAATGGTAATCTGCCTCGCTAAGGAAAAGCGCCGCGTGGAAATTAGGACGTTGGCAAGTTTTTTCTGATACAGTAAAGAAATTGGGATTTTTCCGCCTTGAATTTGTCATTAATTTTTTTGTGAACTTCAACACGGTGCACCTGAGCTGAGAACATTGAAGAAAAGTATTCGCATCTTAAGTTCTCAAGCATTAATCGTTTAAAGCGGTGGATTTGGCAACATTTTAAAGCCCATTCTGTGTTTTTCCTAAGCACAGCAGTAACATTTTGCATTGATTCGCGCGTACTGCACTGCTGTAAGAAAGAGCCGCGCGCGTGGATCAAAAATAAAGATTCAGCGGAAAACTTACAGCTTTCAAGTGGCGAAATATAAAATGGTCTTCCGTTTGAACTGACTTTATTTACGTCGTGGAGCCTCCATCAATATCCGCTGGTCTCCTGACCCCTAGGTAAGTTTACTTCGTTACAATTTTAGAAAAAACATTCATTATTAAATTCATCCGATCGTCCCAGCCGATGATTCTCCCTCCAAGGTAGACTTCGGCACTACCCGGGCAGATATGCAGCCGTGAGTTTGGTTTAGTTGGTCGGCTCGACTTCGGTCCCCCGATCTCCCTAGCCTGCTCCTGATCAGAGCTTTTTCTAATTTCTAGAGCTAAACCAACATATGATAGTTTAACCTACTAGATGACCATCTGGCCGAAACCCACCCCATGTTGGGGTGGTAGTGCGAAACGGATGGGAGTCGAAATCCCCGACTTTGGTTTACCACAGCCGGTGGAATAAGCAGCTTAAATTGTCATATCTTCGAGAAGATTCGCCACTTTTTCTCCCGGTAGAACTACAAAAAAAAAAAAAAAAAAAAAAAAAAAAAAAAAAAAAAAANTAATTGGACTACATTTTGCAATTTGGGACTATAAATTCTAGCCCGGTTTAAAAACAACGTATGTGTGTTAGTTTCCCTATGCTCACAAGTGTTTTTTCAGATGAGCCAGAAATTACAGTTCCAAATTGCAAAATGCAGTCCAATTGATTTATTTTTATTCTTTCATAGTGAAGCCATTTTTTAGACATTTTAAAGTAAAATTAGAACAAAATTGGTAGGAAATCCACGAGAGTGCATAGATAAAAGCATTTTCAAAATAAATTCCATAAATTTGAAGATCATTTAGTTCTCACGAGGCCACTCATTTTACTCGAAATATATATTACGCACTGTGAACGTTGATTTTTTTATTTTTCTATAAGAATTTTTCGCAACAAAAATGCAAATTTGAAAATGGCCTGAGGGTTTGTATGGTTAATGGCAGTAGATTTGTAATTTGAAAACTGGATTATTGCTGAATTGAACGAAATATGATAATATTTCGACAGTTCAAAATTACCGACCGCATAAAATATATGAATTTGGATGAGCACCCCTCAGCCGTGTGCTGGATCCATGTCCATGTGACCTCAGGTCAGCACGTCACCCCGTAAAATTCAATTCTGAAAGTACTGATACCTTTAAGTCTCTCGTATTTTTCTGCCGAGTCCCAAATGTTTATAAATATTAAAACATTTCTGAGCGTTCTTGAATGCACTTCATGCATACTGTCTCTCATATCTCATTTATGACTGATTACTTCACTAATTTAATGACCTCTCGGCACACCTGCCAGAGGCGGATCCAGTAATTTGGCAACAACGAATTCCCTCCATTTAAACCTATGTTAAACAATCGATTCTTGTTGGAGAACCTGGCCCCTCCAAGAATCGATACATTTCCATAGATTTTAATGGAGAAAATCAATGTTGCCAATTTGCTAGATCCGCCGATGACACCTGCTCTTACATAAAAAAATGATTTTTGGTAGGTCGCGATAAGATGAAACAAATCCTGTGTGTCCTAACCCTCAACATTCTTTCCGCACTTCTGGTACACGGAGGTCAGCAATGCAATACAATCTGTAACCTCCCAGAGGACACACTTTGTTACGACCCGAAACTCGAGATCGTCCACCTCTACGAGGACCAATGGCCGACCGATATCGCAATCACCCCCTGCGGCCGGAAATTCTCTTGCTACCCTAGCGGCATCGACGCCAAGAACACCAACAACGGATGCAACGGCAAATACGCGGTCGCCGAACTGAAGAAATGCGGAGAGGTCCCCTACCCCAACTACTGCATCAACAACCCACCGAATGGCGCCATCAACTATTGCACCAGCCCTCCCGTCACCTACGGCTACCCGGATTACTTCCTCAGCGTGCAAGCACTTCTTTACGACTGCGCCTATGGGCTATTCTGTCTGGACGCCGCCCGGGCCAGGGACGACAAACAGATCATCTACGAGGCATCCAAGGGCGGGACGAAGGTCGTTTTGGTCGACACGTGTAGTGACTGCGTCGTCCGGACGTACTGCTTCCCGGTTGACGTCGCAACGCCGACGTCGTACTTCATCAACATGGCCGTGGACAACGTGAAAGGTGTCATGTACATCGCCGATGCGCCAGGTTACTCGATCGTCGCCCTGGATCTGTGCACTGGGAAATCCTTCATCGCTTTCCAGGGAGACCCAACGCTGATGTGGATTCAAGGCGGGTTGGATTGGATCTGGGGTCAGCCGTCGTACAGCACGGGGACGATTTTGAACTGTGATGGAAACGAGTCTAACTGTGAGATCCAAATAGGGTCCATCCCGTTTGGGGTCTCGACACTGTCCCTTTCGTGTGACAGGAAGAGGCTCTACTACAGCCAGCTTGGGGGTCGCACGCTGTGGTCCGTGGATACGAAGGCGCTGTTGGCGGCGGATGGGGTCGCTGATACGATCGTAAACCACGGCGAGAAGGGAGTGACCCTGGGGTTGATAACCGATGTGCAAGGGCTCATCTGGTCCGGGAACGCGGAGAACGATGCGATCGTGTACTACAATCCCTGTTGCGCCTTCGCGAAGACGTATCTGTACATACGGGACCCGAGGTTGAGCTGGGTGCACGGGTTCAGCGAGGCGGGAGACGGGTACATGTACTGTCTTGCCAACTACATCAACGGTATCAACCTGGTCTACCCGGGGACGGGGCCTATTTACGCCGACAGACGGAAGAAACCGTATGTTTTGTTTAGGTATAAGCTGCCATGCGATTGTCTCTGTCCGAATTTCAGTACGGAGCCAACTCTGGGGAAGCAAGTCTCTTGCGAGTGAGTTGCAGTTGAGTAAGCCGTGAAACGATCTTTTCAAAATTGAGATTTCTTGAAAATTCGACTGATTTAATGTTAATGAGCTTTATGCAGATTTAGATAAAGCAACACAAGTTGTCTTATTGGTAAAAAAAAAAGTGAGATATGAGATAGAAGTGAGAGGGCGCAAAAATCGGCGTCATTTTGAGACAAAACAGCAGCGTGTTCACACTATACCACAAAGAAGCTGTGATTACTGCTTCCTTGAGTAAAATGGTACCATTTTCTGCAAATTTTTGCCCTGAAAATGTGTTTGTTGTGTATGAAGTATGTCATATAATTCTCATAGATCAACTTTTTGCTAAATTTTGACAGATAGATCATGGACTTCATTTTGCAATTCGGAACTATAAATGCGGACCCATCTGTAAAAGCACTTATCTGGATAGAGAAACTAATTGTACGTACGATGGTCTTAAAGTGAGGCACAATTTATGGTTCCTAATTGCAAATGTAGTCGATTTCTCCTAGTTCAAAAATAAAATCACAAACCAGCTGTGATATCAAGAGTGGCGGTAGCCACCCCCGGTCGAGGAAAATGACGTCCTACTAAAGTCCCGATAACAAACGGGTGGCCGACACTCTTAGTCACAGGCAACTCCCTTAACTTGAAAATTGATTCGATTGCCATTCGACTGCAGCCCAAACGACGGCACGGATTCCTACGATCTTGGTGTCTACGGACGCATCTCAATTAGGACTACAAAGTGGAAGAGTTNTGTAGTTTTACTTATACTCGTAAATTGTACAATTTTAACGGGATATTGCTGAACCAAAATATTTTTGTAGAAGAAATAAACAAAAGTGAAAAACAAGAGTATCGCATTTTATTTGAATCATCTTCGTATTTTCTGGACAGTCAAGTGCACATAGGTTGAAATTGTTGAATAAACAGCTCATCGGAAGAAGCTTAACATGACTTCGCATAAAAATGATAAGTTACGTTGATTCAAAACGCATGAAATCTATCATTAAAAAAATAAAACAATGAAAAATCCTCTATAGGTAAAATCTATTTTTTGTTTTAGACTGAATCTAAAATAAAACATGAGCTCATGAAATACAATATTTTCATTTCATGATCATTGATAGGAAGTTTATGACTGGCGTGTATTTTCAATGTAGTGTTGTTCTTCAGTCATTAAAAAAATATGAAATCTTCACTATCGCTCTAGACATGGGTTTAATTGGAACCTGATATGAAGTATTTTAGTATAGTTAAAAATATCGTGTAGTATTTGAAATCCTCCTGAGGATGGCTACAGATCTTTTACATAAAAGCAAAAGAGATACAATAAATGAGCGGAACAATTATTTTTAACAAAACATTCCTCTTCGTTTCACTTCAAACCTTTTTGATTGAAATTTGCTTTTGAAGTCTTTTGAAGGAATTTTTCAAAGGCAGATGAACAAATGTTCAAGGACTGAGAATGATTTAATAGATGTTAAACTCATCTGGTCAGTGACAACTGGCCAAATTAAATTCTTTTGGGCCAAATGTAACGTTTGTGTTTTCAAAAGTTTGCCACAACTTGTGATGCGGTCTAACAAAAGAGCCCGCTGTTGGATACTCAAATTACTTAGTGCAATGAGATGTATTGGGGTCAAAAATATTAAATTTCAGTTTTTGATGTTGCTATCTACCCTTTTCTAAATTTGATTTTCTCTTCAACTGTCAGTTTTTATGTTCTTTGCACCTTTGCGTCAGATGAGATAGAGCTAATTCGTCTGAGCTGAAGTATCTCTAGCTGCTTACGCGTATTTCACTTTTTCCCGCCTCAAGCGGGAAAAAACTGAACTCGTTCACAATTTAATTCTTTTCCAAGAGAATATAATTTATCCAATTTTGCACTGTTATACTTTTACGTTTTTAAATTACGCCTCAACAAAATTCGTTGGAGTTTTTGGATGTTTTGAAGCGTTATCTGGTCTTCAGGCTCGATGCGCAGTGCCTCATTATAGTGAACTATTGCTTCACTATACTTTCCTTGCAAGTGAAGAATCGCTCCAAGATTGCTATGACTGTTTGGGTCCTGTGGAGAGAAATGAAAATAATCGAATTAATTTTCATTAAAGTTAGTACGATAACCTGATTTCTTTAAACTAACTTATGCTTTATGAGCCAGCATAAAAATCCAAAGATCAAGATGTTTTATGAGTGTGAAACTGGAAATGCCCAAAGGTGCATGAGCCTCGAGTATGTCTTGTTGCCTACGACAGCATTGAAGGCGTTTTATATCAGGCTAACTACTGAAACGATTATAAAACGAATATACCTGAATTGGACGTATTTATGCCAAAAGGAACTATGTTACACGCAATCCCAATGCATATAGTTCATTTTAGCATAAATGTGTCCAATTAACTTCAGGTATACTCAAGAACGTCGGCGCCCCGACTGAAACGACGAGATGTGCCTTTTTAAAAATTCTAAGATACTGTACTGGATGAAATGAACAGGCCGTGCGTGTATGTGGGAAACAGGTGAAAGTTTTTCTGGTGGCTTGTATGTACATGGCAATAAATTATTGGATCTACGGTCCACGGCGATTTCTGTGAGTAAAAAACACGAATGTGCGTTAAGTTAACTTTTAAACTCGCAAGTGACTGTTAAAAATGAGCTCACATTCATCGTTTTTACTTATTATTGTTCTTAAATATTTTTTTTGCATTTCATTAGAGACCATTGATTTACCCACTTGACTTTTTCCTTTTCTCGATGATTTTTGTGATTGCATTAGACGATGCGCATTTAACATCCTTCACTTACTCCATCTTCAGGCCACTGTTTTTTATTCCCGTTATCTACACACGTCATGGGTCTACGAGCCCATACGCTCATGTTCTTCTCATTCGTATGTCGTTCATGTGTAGAACTTGTATGCATTGTTTCGTAAACCCATAACATGCGTAGATAACGCGAATAAGAAATGAGAGACGAAGCCACTTTTAGAATCTCAAAGTTTTGTATAAACGGTGTTATAAGCGTTTGAAGTCTCCAAATTTTGTCCGATCTCTCCTATTGACTTGATCCACTGTGTAGCGTTTTTCCTTAGCACGGCGGTAATGTGGATAGATGAACGTGAATTTCCACCGAGGAAGCAGTTTCTAACGAGTCGATAAAACGGTCTGCCGTGCTAAGGAAAAACGCCGTATAAACCTTCAGGCGTTGCAAAATTTTCTAGAATAAATCGCAAATTTTCGAGGAAATTTGTAAATAGTTTCCTTCCAATTTTTCAGAATTTTTTTTTGCAATTTCACCTAAATTTCTGGAAAATTTCAAGGAGTTTCATTTACAACTTTCCTCAAAAATGAAGATTTTATCTAAGGAAATAGGGATGAAATAGGATAGGGGGCAATGGCGATTGGGCGTCGCAGAGCGCGAGGCTGCGCTGTAAAAGCGGCTTCATGTATGTATCTAAGGAAATTTGGCAACTCTCAAATTTTCGTACGGCGTCCTTCCTTAGCACGGCAGTGACGTGGATAGGTGAACGTGAATTTCCACCGAGGAAGCGGTTTCTAACGAGTCGATGAATAGGTCAAGAGGTTAAGGGCGCTCGCGGACTCACCCAAGGGCTGTGCATGAGTGCTTTGCGGTAGTACTTCTCGGATTTGGCGATTTGGCCGGCTTGGCGGAGGGCGGTGGCTGCCCCGATCAAGAGCTCGTTCTGGTGCGGGGCGAGCTCCGTCGCCCGGATCCAAATTGGCACGGCTTCGGCGAAACGCTCGTTCTGGCACAGGAATTGACCTTAGAACAGAATTAAATGCATCCTCCGTTACACCTTAGCTGGAAACACATCGCCCTTCTTGGACGAAGGAACGTAACTCGATTTCCAGATTGAGGAGCTTTCCGCGGAAAAAGGACCCGCAGCGAAAAATCTCGTAATATCCACGTGAGCCCTGTTTTACACACAAAACCATGTTTTCTGAGGCTCATGTGGAAATCGATATACGCCCTTACGCCAGAGGAGCGACGGAATGCGTGAAAGAGCGGATTCAAGACTTTTTGATGCGCTCAAAGTAATTTGTGCGCAATTTTAGAGCACTATCTGGACCGCGTTCAGCAGAGAGGAACCAAGCCGCATCAGCTATCGCCAAATTTATCCGGGCAATAAAGAATTTGCAGGTGTCTTTGTAAATTTCATCTTTGAAATGATACTGCTAGTAAAACTGAGTACGAGGATATCCTTGGTTTCTAAATTAGACAATTATCAGAGAAAATATGACAAAATAACCTAGTCTGCTAAAATGCATGTGTTTAAATGGAAAATGCAGCCAGATGACGTCACAAGGCGGCAAATTTTCTCTCTTTAAAATGAATTTTTCTCAAATTTCCCATGCCAGAAAAAAATTATGACAAATTACTACAAACTCAGCTCATTAGACACTCTAGATGGAGCAATACAATTTTTGTGTGCAAATTCTCCATTCAATTTTTTTTACATGAAAACGGTGATTTTCTTTGCAAATCGGGATGAATTTTCTAAAAAGTACGAAGCAAATTCCTTAAAATTTGCAAAAAAATCCATACAAACGCTCTCTTGTAAAGAATTAAATTGCCCAGTTATATTTTGCAATCGCTGATGTGGCTTGATTCCTTTCTGCTTAACGCAATCCATTTAGGTTATATTCAATTATGACTTAACGTAATTGGTGCAACTGACCTATTCAGTTGTGCTTATTTCCAGAGGATTTGTTACGAGTGTATGAATGGAGAAAATAAGAGCGACTTCGTGAGGTCCGTAAATTCAACGCTCTCTGAAGATATCTTCCTAAACAATGCTCTCGATGAAATTGTCGGAGCGGTCAAAAAGTTGGGGTCAAGATATCGAGTTGCGAAGCTGTCGAAGCCGCTTCGAGTTGGTCAAACTTCGAACGGAAACCCGAACTTGCTCGGTTGGTCACAGGAAAACGAAGGAAAGCTATGCTTACACAGGCGGTGCGCGACGCTAAGTTGGCCTCCCGAGACGGAGTGAGTTCGTTTTAAATCCGCCCGTTGTCAGAAACATTGTTCACTGTAGTCTTGAGGCAAGCAACAGCGAGGAACATCTAGCCAAAAACGGTTTGCAGGGGGTGAGCATATGGTGCGTGTGAACTTAAAATCGCGAAAAATCAAAATCTAAGCTAATCCTAGTTTCGAGATATGGCAATTTGAAATTTTCATAGTGAACACAAGTTTTCTACTGATTTCGATCCGTTTTTTTACTTATTTGTTCATTGAATCTGGGTTGATCGGTTCACGTTTTTTTTATTTTTCGTTCGATTCATGTCGGTCCCTCTCGTTACATGCAGACCACCTATCGTACCCTTCTTTTTTAACTGAACAAGTCGCCTTCTGCTGCGTCTGCAGCAATTGTTCTTACGAATATGTTGTGCGTGCTGATTTCAACTCATTACATACCGGAATCTCTGAAGGCGTTTTATGTGTGAAAGGTATTCGCCTTCAGCTGCGTCTGCAGCAATTGTAGTTACGAACATGTTGTGCGTGCTGATTTCAGCTCATTACATACTCGAATCTCTGTAGGCGTTTTATGTGCGCAAGTAGCGCAAGCTGTCGAGGAACGAACGAAGTAGGGATTGAGCAATTCATTCAATCTCACTTTTATTGGTCTCCAACAGGTTGCTCTACTTTACCACATTAAACGCCTTCAGAGATTCGAGTATGTAATGAGTTGAAATCAGCACGCACAACATATTCGTAACAACAATTGCTGCAGACGCAGTTGAAGGCTACTTGATTTCGCTTATGAAACGCCTTTAGAGATTTGAGTATGTAATGAGTTGAAACCAGCACGCTTAATATATTCGTAACAACAATTGCTGCAGACGCAGCAGAAGGCGAATTATTCAGTTAAACTACTACTACTTGTTCCCTCCATTTTTGACTTTTTTCAACCTCATCCGATTTCCAAATTCTTAATTTCCTTCTTCTTCTATTCCTGCATTCCTCTCATTAACTTCCTACTCTTCTTACTTTATCCCTTCCCATTTCCCTTCCTTTTACTCCCCTTCTAATTTTCGTTCTTTCAATTACTCTCCTTCGTCCGATTTCGCACAATTTCCTATCTATTATATTATACGAGAAGCCCAAGACTATTGCAAATAAGTCTTTTCTCAAAAATTCTCACTATCGATATAACTGATTTGCAGAACAATGAAAAAAAATAATATGCTTTTTTAGCACCTAGGATATCAAAAATGTTTCTGGTGATCCCAATGTGCTGCCTTTACTGCCAACGCAGTTAACTTTACATCCTTTGATTGCAAATTCAACTGCGTGGGCAATCCAGGCAGCATCTTATCATCACCAGACACATTTTTGACATCCTAGGTGCTAAAACAGCATACCATTTTTTTCAGTGAACGCCCAATTTATCGCACCTAGTGGCGCAGCCAACTCGGCGTCGCGCGCTGCCTGTGGGACCGTGCCTTCGGAGTGGACCCTGTTCGGGGTGGGGGTGCGAGCTCGATGGCGGGGGATGGAACGGAGCGTGGTGAAGTGGTGTTTTGATAAAACACGGTATTTAGAGAGGTTGAATCAACGATAAAGCGGCTCTTAATCCCGCGTTAAAACGGTCAACACTCGGAAACTCCGCGAGAACTTTATCTCGTCGAGGAGTCGACAACACGCTCGGCCCGAGCACGCGTGGAACCGACTCTTTCTTCGTTCTTTCTCTGGCGTAAGGGCGTATCTTGATTTTCACATGATCCCCGAAAAGCATGGAGTTATACGGAGAGCAGAGCTTTCCCTGGAAATCGAGATACGCCCATGTGTCTTGTTAGAGGAACGACGTCGATCGCTTCCGGGTCTGGGGCGAGAATAGTCTTGCCTTTGATTTTTAGATGGGTTTATCCGTCGACGAGATAAGTCGCTCGTATGCTCTGCCACGATCAAACCGGATTATACCCGGCGCCTACAAACCTAACTGGGATACTTCACGCATTGCGCAATGCGTGAAGTATCCCTGTTAGGTTTGAAGGCGCCAGTGCAGGTTTATATGGATCCAGTTCAACCCTAGCCTGACAAACTCGGATATTTTGACCCCGTAATTTTGACTTTCTGAATGGAGAGATGGAGACGGAGGAGAGGAGAAGAAAAAGGAAAAACAAACAGAGAAAAGAGGAAAAACAAACAGAGAAAAGAGGGAAAACAAATCGAAGAAAGAGAAAAAACAAACAGAGGAAAGAGGAAAAACGAACAGAATAAGGAGCAAAAGTAGAAAAGGAGGAAGCAAAATAAAAGTTTATTCTCTCCCTTTTTCTTAACTCCCTCTTTTTCTTCTTCTCACCCTTCTTCCTCGCTTTTCTATCCTTCAGATACTTCTTCTTCTTATTTCTCCTTTCCTCACTGATCCTCTTTTTCTTCCTACCATCATTACTTCTCCACTTCCACCATCTCTTATTCCTCTTACTTCCTTCGTTGGTATGCTCTGCCACGGTCAAACCGGATTACACCCAGGTTTATATGGATCCAGTTCAACCCTAGCCTGACAAACTCGGATATTTGACCCCGCAGTTTTGACCTACCGAATTGAGAACAAGAGACGGAGAAGAGGAAAAGAAATAGGCAAAAGTAGAAAAAGAGGAAGCAAAATACAAATTTCTTCTCTCTCTTTTTCTTCACTACCTCCTTTTCTTCTTCTCACCCTTCCTCCACGCTTTCTTATTCTTCAGACTCTTCTATTTTCTTATTTCTCCTTTTCTCACTCTACGTCGTTTTCTTCCTATAATCATTACTTCTTTACCTCCTCCATCTTTTCTCCATAATCCTCCCCAATTTCCTCTCCCTCTTCCTCTCCTCCTATTAATTCATCTGCTTTTTCTTCTGCTTCTACTTCTTCATCATGCAGTTAACACGTCTCTGCTTTAGACTGTTAATTTCATAAGAGAAGTGTTCACTATGGGATAAGTAAAGCTGAAAAAACTTACCGAAATGTTGGTACACTTGTGGGTCGTTGGGGGATAGTTTCTTAGCCCTTCTAAACCAGTGTTCTGCTTCATACAGTCTTGTTCTCTGCCACACACACAAACAAAAGCAAAAATGAATAAAAAAAAAAATGAGACAAGTATTTTGATTCAATGATAAGTTTTATGGAATGAGTGTTCATCTTGTTTGGACACAGGATATCTTGAGAGCAACGGAAATGGATTTCTGGAGGGTTTCGGTTAGAACTTCTGGAGGGGATATGGTTCGTAATGATGTCGGGTTATAAAAGTCGAAAATGACGTCGTATTTGGACCGCGTTAAGCAGAAAGGAACCAAGCAACACCAGCAACTGACAATATAATTTCTTACATGAAAACGATTGTGCGTATTTTTGTGCAAATTTCAATGAATTTCTGCAAAGAACGAAGCAAACTACTTACAATTTTCAAAGAAATTCGCACACGTGTTTTCTTGTAAAAAAGTAAACTGCCCAGTTAAATTTGGCGGTAGTTGATGTGGCTTGGTTCCATTCTGCTAACTGCGGTTCATTTAACGTCCTGAAGATCATCTATGATTTTCAGGAACGGAGGATTCGTTCAATAAAATGATCCACTTGAACTATATTTTTTCAGAACTTTACTTTTTCACTCGTTACTCTTCTTGGTAACAAGATGCCAGTTTCGTTGACCCGTTGTTCGGTCATCGTGTAACGCGTCTTTTAAACGATAGATGCGTCCTCTGAAGGCATCAGAGAAAAAACGTCGCTGATTTCTGATGGATTACCCGATGACAAACTCTCGTCATGTGACTATCATGACGGCTCAAATAGACATGAGGTTCTCTCAACGCTCAGCGGCCTTGCCCAGCATTTTTAAGAGGTGCTGGGCGATTACGTTGACTGATGACTCACCATGACAGTCATCGGGTAATTAGCGAAAAGTCATCAAGTTTTCAAGAACGATCGTCCAACTCTCAACGGTACTCATCGGGTAGCCAACAGTTGACCCGATGCCTCCAGAGAGCGCATCTCGTAAGGTAAGTCATTACGACCTTTGACTCTTAGACTCAACATGACTCGTTGCTCCATCGCCGTCTTGATTAATCACCCTTAATTCGGTGACTGGCGCCCGAGTCGTTTAAACCCCGCTAAATCACCGAGCGAGCAACGGAAGAAAAAGACGATGAATCCATAACAAACAGAAGAAGCCCGGCGGGATGCAGATGATGCACGGCGCGACGGTGGCGCGACACCGAATGGGCGAAAATTAAATTAACCGCGATGGCGCGGCGCGGTTGTCGCGGGAACTAAGGAGATGTAAATTAAGTAATTACCGCTATGGGGAGCTTATGAATATTCCCGCGTCGCGAATATTCTCCCAGTGATAAACGGCGCGCGAGATTGATGACGCAGAACCGACGGCCGCCAGGTGGTACCACCGTCGACGCAACCTCACATCCATTCTAAGGAAAAACGCCGTATAAACCTCTGGATGTTGCCGAATTTCCTCCAATAAAATATGAATTTTTAGGGAAATTCGTGAACAATTTCCGGCCAAATTTCTAGAGGATTCCATTCCTGAGGAAATCCGAATTATCTGAAAGTTTGAGGGGAGAATATTCAAAATTCTTCTCGAAAGTAAACGTTTTATCGGAGGAATTTTGGCAACTTTCGAACGTTCGTACGGCGGTTTTCCTCAGCGCGGCAGTAAGCGATGGGGGGTCGTGCACGAGTCGGCAACACCGCCCTCGGCACTGAAATTATCATATTAAGCTCCGTCTGACTCGACTCTTTGTGTCCCGGGGGTGGGGCGGGGGGCTGAGGAGCGTTTAATGGCAGGTTAATTCGAATTCAAAAATCTCGCAGTAATTATGTCATTCACTCAGCTTCAAGCGTCAAACGGCTTCCCGTTTCAAGCTGTCTCTTGAAACTTTTCTGCCGGTCCCCCCTCCCTCCCCCCTCTCACCCCCCTACCCCGAGGAGCTTGAGTCAAAGCTCTGTGTGCACAGCTCTCGGCATTATTTCACGACTCTTTCACGGGGTTCTTGATAAGGGGTGCAGTTCTAAGAGAGGGCTTACGGGGCTATTTACCGGTCCTTGGTGTTTGTGAACTTATTATCAGGTCCCAGGGAGGGAAATCTGTTTCTGAGGCTGTGCGTGGGCGTGGAGGATGCTTCAGAGTCTCACTTCAGAGCAGTGGCGTGGCGTGAATTGCGATGTATCGATTGTTATGCCATTTAAACCTATGGTAAAGAATCGATTACTAAGGTGTTCGCTGCGAACACCCTGTCTATCGATCCTTTTACATGGGTTTAAATGGCATAACAATCGATATATCGCAAAGCACGCCGCACCACTGCTTCAGAGGCGCGGGTCGGTTTGAAACGGATGTCCCGGAAAATTAGAGGACTTCGTTTTATCGCTCTGTAAATCGAGATCTTTTGAGATCACGACTCAAGAGGGGAGGTACTAAGAAATAAACCATAGTAAATGTTACTAATGCAAGAATGGGCTTGTAGACGTCTCTGCGTACAGGAGTTTAATTTTCAATTTACTTTAAGCTATCTTGGTTTTCTCCCTTTTCTTAGTAAGTATGGAAAAATTAATCAAATTCTTGTTTAATACTTTATATGACGAACGAAAAATAATTATCTCATGATGGAAATTTTTAATTCTTGTGATTTATGACGATTATTATCGTTACACTCAAAACAAGGTATGACTCTGAGACCCATAAAAAATGGCTCGGAGATCCATAATTTCTAACTAAAGTGATTTACCGTCTATAGTATGGCTTTCTGAGCCATACTTTCTTGGTCGTGAACCTATAAGCATGGCTCCACGAACTAAATTTTATGGCTCCATGATCCATAACTCGGCAGTTAAGTCACTCTTCCCATACTTGTTTCTTGAGTGTACCTGATCAGGCACTCCGATAAGTATGCCAGATAAAGGTCATATTCATAGTTGGACTGCATTTTGTAACTAGGAACTGCAATTTCTGGCCTCTTTAAAGCTCCCTTGCTTACAATTGAAACCATAGGGAATCCCCTTTGGAAAAAAATCTTTCAGGGAACTACAACTAATCTGCTGTGCTAAGAAAGAACGACGTATATGTATTCAAACGTAGCTAGCTACATTCCCTCTCAGAAAATATTTATTTTTGAGGAAAGGTAATAATATTTTTCCTTGTAATTTTCAGACTTTTTACATCAAATTACGTACAAAATCCTCTGAGAAATTGGAAGATGATCATTCATAAGATTTTCTGAAAATTCGTGATTTTTCGAAAGAAATTTGGCAACGACTGATGGCTCATGGCTCATACGGCGTTCTTCCTCAGCACGGCCGTACTGTTCGGGGTACGAAAACATCAATATCGAGATCTTGAACTGTAAATTGGACGTATTTCTGTCAAACGGAACTATGTGTATCATGACGTGAGCCCTGTTCTGCAAATATTCTTGTGGGTCTTAAGGATCATGTCTTAAGGCACATAGTTCCGTTTGGTAGGAATACGTCCAATTGTCGTTTGAATTTTTCCCACATGTATTTTTGTGCGAGAACTTACATTTTTAGCGAGTAATTTGCCGTAGGTGAGATAGGCAGGCACATGGTCCGGTTTCACTTGAAGCGCCGTCTGATACCATTTCTCCGCCTCTGCCTGGAAACCCAGGTGTGACAACGACTCTCCCAAGAGACTATACAAAACCTGAAACAGATTCAAAGTTTGATATAGTAAACCGCGAATTCAATATTCAAAACGAATAATGAAAACTACTTGCAAAGGAAAACATGTTAAACGGCCCTCAGGAAGTCAAATGTTCTCGGTTCGCAGAGCCCCGCGACATGAAGGGATGAAAATTCAAAGGCCAAAATCGGCGAAACACCTAATTCCGAGGCTACGGCGCGAGTCGTGACGGGAGTGTCTCAAAATGCCGGTGGCAGCGCGAACGAGGAGCCGAGGAGACAACGCGGATCAAATCCGGGCCCATAAATTACGCCATTCCGACACCTCCGGCATCACGTCCCAACTCCATCACCAGCCGGGTAATGAGAACTTCGGCGCGCAGCGCACCGCCATGCAAGCGTCCGCCCCCCAGCCCCCCTTGCCCCCCGACTCCGCCCCACGCTGCCAATTTGCGAAATCCCTCCCCAAAAAAAAGGAGCGCGTACTTTGCCTCATGTTGTGAAGGCTCCCATAAAAATCCATAAGTTTTTGTTCTGACTCTAGCATGATAACCGCGGGTCTTCAAGACCATGAGGATACCATTGAGGTCATACTTATGAGGGGTTTTTGCAAAATTACATACATACGATAATTGGGCTACATTTTGCAATTTGGAACTATAAATTCTAGCCCGGTTTAAAAACAACGTATGTGCCATTAATTTCCCTATGCACATAAGTGTTTTTCCAAAAGAGCCAGAAATTATAGTTCCAAATTGCAAAATGCAGTCCAATTCGTCGTCCCCCTGACGTGAGAGCGTATCTTGGTTTCCACGTGAGCCAGGTAAAGTAGGGAATTATGCGGATAGTAGGGCTCATCCCAAAATAGAATTAGGAACTTATGTCAGAGCGACGAATTAAGGGATCCTATTACACATTTTTCAGACGGGGGCGTATTCAAAATAATACGGAAGAGGAGAGGGAGAAAATATTGAAATGAGGGAGGAGATGGAGAAGAGGTATAAAAAGAAGAAGGAGAAGAAGGAGGAGGTGAAAAAAACGAGAAGGACAAAGGAGAAAAAGAAGAAAGAGATGCAGAGAAAGAAGAAGGAAAGAAGGGATGACGTAGAGGAAGAGGAGGAAGGAGGAGAAGAAGAGGAAGTAGAGGAAGACGATGAAGAATGAGAAGAAGAAGAACTAGAGGAAGAGAAAATAGGTGAGAGCTGGAAAGAGGAAATAGGTGAAAACTGGGAAGAGGAAGAGGAGGAAGTAAATGAGGAAGAGGAGGAAGATGAGGAAGAGGACGAGTAAGATTAGGAGGAAGATGAGGAGGAGGAGGATGAGAAAGATGTGAAAGAGGATGAGGATGATGAGGGAGAGGGGGTTAAGGAAGGGGATGAGGAAGAAGAGGAAGAGGAAGGGGATGAGGAAGAAGAGGAAGAGGAAGGGGATGAGGAAGAAGAGGAAGAGGAAGGAGGGAAGGAGAGGAAGAAGAGGGAGGAGAGGAAGAAGAGGGAGGAGAGGAAGATGAGGAAGAATTAGAAGGAGAAGAAAAAGAAGGAGAAGTCGAGGAGTGTACTGCTCTGAGGGCGGCATAGCTAGACATAGTGATGTAATACCCTCGTCATAGGCACTCCAGTTTTTTGAGAGCCAAGCATCCCAGCTTTCCTCGCGGAATCAACACAGAATGGCGGATTTCCCGGCGAGATTCGGCAAAGGAACGAAGCGCCGCGTGCACCAGCAAAGTTTCAGGCCGGAAGGAGGGCTGGGGGCCTGAGGGGCCGAGGAGGGGGGGGGGGCTGGGTGTAAGAACAAGCCGTGAAAACAAGGGCGTTCATTCATCTTACAGATTGAACACGTCGGTGGCAACAACATTCTAATTTCTCACCAGCTCTTAACTTGTCGGATCCTCTAATCTCCAGTCTTTTTTCCTTCTTCTTCCGCCCCCGTCCTCGCCTTCATAATCCTCCTTATTCATAATAACCCTTCGATGCTACTCATTGCATCGCTCCCTCGTTTCTGTGTCAGCTCAAAAATCTTCCGTCTCATACTCCATCGGGAAGTTTGCGAAATATTTCGTAATACGATTGATTTGGTGAGAAACAGTAAAAAATAATGTATAATTTAGTTCCCGCACGAGTTTTGGAGCGTTGTGATATGTGGGCTTCAGACTTATTACTGAAATTGATAGTTAAAACTATAGACATAGAATACAACGAGAAAATGGAGCTATTCGAAAGGTTATAGACTAAGGGAGAAAATGATGGACTTGAATTGGGTTTCTCGTAAGTTGATGTTACTTAGTCTATTACTAATCTTCTTCTCTATTGCTCGTTCCTTGGCTTCCCGTTTTCTTGTGTTTGCCGTTGTGTTTTCGTCAGATGTTATAGATAAAAGGAGTTTAGATAATAAGGATTCAGAGAGATTAGAAGATGTTAAGAGTGAGAACTGCGAGCTAAAAAGCTAAATGGAACTAGCCCTTGAGAGATATTTTGAATTTTTGTTTAAAAAAAAAGAAGAAATATTTTATGCCCTGACGCAGATCCTGATTATCTTGACAGACGAATCCAAACTTACAACACGACGCTCCACATGGACTGGGTCAACATTGATTATTTATTCTTCCTTTTCTTTTTAAAAAAAAACGCTAAAATTCGCATCTTGGAAACACGATAAATAAAGTTGATCAGGCAATGATCCCTCCGAAAAAAGATTCCATTCGCGGAATTTCCGAACGCCTTCCTCTTGCACTCCTATCCTTTAAATGTCATCAAACAGACGTAACTAAAAGCTTCATTACCCTTTCATTCAAAGGTTTTCAAATCCGTTCCGTACTCGGAATTCGCTCGAGAAAAATGAGAAAAATAGACAGCCCGAGGGAAAATAGGCAAACCAATTGCGTACATCGAATTATCTCCTCAGCGCCAGCAATTATTTTGCATTTACTCGCGAATACTTTTGAAAGCGACCTTTCCTCGAGAGGAGATTGAGTCGGCCGCCGTGACATTTGAGAGCGAATAAAGCGAGTTGAGAAAAATGCGCATCCACAGCACCAATAACAGCAGAAAAGATGCAAACGTAGGAATAAAATTGGATTACATTCTGCAGTAAGAAACTCTTATCACAGGCTCAATTTCAAAACAACGTATATGTCACAAGTTTTCCCAAACAGGTAGGTGCTTCAATAGATGAGCCAGAAATAGCAGCGCTTTATCGCAAAATGTAGTCTAATTCAATCCAGACGAATCAAGGTAACAGCCAGTGGCGTGGCGAGATTTGCGATGTATCGATTGTTATGCCATTTAAACTTACGGCAAAGAATCGAATATTAAGGTGTTCGCTGCGAACACCTTGTTTATAGATCCTTTTACATAGGTTTAAATGACATAAGAATCGATACATCGCATAGCACGCCACGCCACTGGTAACAGCGACCGGGCGTAATCATCTAATCCTATATCGACTTTGTTTTAAAAGTCATTTGGATGAAGTCTCTCTCAGAAAGGTTATAGATTGTGATGTAAATTGGATAAACTTTCAGTTTAACAACTTTATTGTACGTATCTTAATGAGCGCATTCGAGTAAATCGAATACTGCCAGAAGATTTTACCCCTAGATGCCCAGGTCGGGTCAAATTGACCGCGCGCCCCTCGGTTTGTAGGGGGCCATCACATATGAGCTTCAGATAAAGGTCGACAAAGACATCCTAAAGAGAGAATCAGAAGTCAAGTTGAAAAAGAAAAAAAATAGTCCGGTGTTAACACAACACGAAGAGAGGGAAAACGTAATCGGGCCTCGTTTTCCAACTTTTCTCCCGAATCTGATCGACATTTCCGTGGCGGCATGGCATGGAGCGGAGCGTTGCGAGTTCACGCCTCGCGCCATCGCGCCTTCAATTTTTCAGATACCACACGGACATCCATCGAGCACGAATAGTTGTATCTCTGCGCCGGCATCAATGTGTGACCTTTCTCTTGCTCTAATTAAACGTTGCTTTGATTCCGTCTGTCTTATTTTTAATGGGACTGACATAATGTTGATTTCAGCAGTCATCATTAGGCGAATTTTATTTTATTTCTTTCTCAACCAGTTGCTCATCAATTGTTAAAGGGTGGAAAGTAGTGCATGACCTCCGAAAGTAAGTTTTGGGTCACTCCATTATATTGAATGATTGTTATTGCGAGGTCTCCAAAATATACACTGGAAAAAACACATTGGATCTAGAGTCCAGACTCTTAAAAACATCGACAAGAAAAATTACTCTTGATTCAATCAGAATCTAGCTTAAATCACGAACCCAGCTTCTTAATTTAAGCGGATTTCGTTTTGATTCAAGAAAAAATCCGATTGAATCAAGAGTATTTTCTTTGGTCAATGTTTTCAAGAGTCTGGACTCTAGATCCAATGTGTTTTTTTTCCCAGTGTATTGCCTCCGGTCAGGATCTTTTCATGCGTTTTTTGAGGATTTTTTGAGAGGCCACCGTTGTATTTAAAACACTGAAACACATTTTTGATTGAAGAAAATGTAAATGTAATCTTTTAGGTTGTTAATTTTTGAAAATATAAAAAATGTGTATGTATAAATTGAAACAACGAATCCCCGAGTGTTATTGATTACTTAATAAGAAAATTTGGAATTATTCCCTACTATCCGGCATTCGTGTGCCTTACTGGGTAGATGCAGCAACACAATATTTGATACCGCATCGCGGTTTCAGGAGACGGGATCTCAGAGAGAATCGTTGCCACATTATGTGATAAAATTGCTGCACTCCTTACATTCGCACTCATACGGAAAACAATGATATAATTCAACACACTCTGGCGACCATGGAGGAAAGGGATGGGGCGCGCTAGATACGTTTGAATCGCGAGCAACCACTTTTTGCCATCGCAAAAACATAATGTGCCAAACTTTCGCCCGGAGCGCCTAACTTTCAGCGCTAATTAGAATCAGTTAAAATTTAAAATGAAAGATTACTCTATGAATAATGGCTTGGTGGCTGTTTGTAGCAGAAGAAAGTTGGGGCACCCTTGAGAAGCCGGTAATTTATTTCTTACACCTTCTATCCTTCCGTCTTCCTCCTTATTCCCTCTTGCTTCTCTTATACTCGTCCTAACCGAGCGGTTTGTCCAGTTCGGTTTGTTTATCTGGAGAAGTGGAGACCATTAGTCAATATAATATAGCAAAGGGGATACCAAATTTACCGTACTAGGGGAAAAGGCCGTATGAATATCGTATCAATGTTGCTAATTTTTTACGGATGAGAGCTTTCTACGATTCAATCTTAAATGTCTGAAAATGTCAACGAAAATTGAACATAAACTCATCTCAAAAATAAATATTTAATTGGTCGGGAAAAAATTGGATTACAAACATGGTTAGTTTTGAAGAGACAAGCATGTGCATTAGCTACGGATTTGTACCGAACGTCAGGTATAAGAAGTCATTATGAAGTAAAAGACAGAGAAAAAGAGGGGAAGAAAAATAAGAAGTACAAAAAGAGGGAGTGGACGGGGGAGAGGAGGAATGAGAGGAGGAAGTATGAAGAAGAGCTAGAGGGCTACGAGAAAGATGAACAAATGTGCTGAAAACAATTTTTTTTTTTTTTTTTTTTTTTTTGAGATCTTATTTTGACCTGAAGCGTCGTATCTCGTCAACAAAATGTGGTTTTTTTCAAAGTTAAATTCGTGCGGATTCAACTTAAAGTCAGCTTTTTTGAGTTAAAGAAACGTTGTATTGCTATCGTCAAGTTTAAGTTAAAAAAACGATAGCCAGAGCACGTTTCTTCATCTCAAAAGAACCGACTTTAAGTTAAATCTGCACGGATTTACCTAAAAAAACCAAATTTTGCCTAAAAGAACCGACGTTTCAAGTCCAAATAATATCTCAAGAAAAAAAATTTTCAGTGAGAGAAAAAAGAAAAAGAAGAGGGAGTAAAGAAGCAAGAAGGAGTAGTAGGAATTAGAGACTCCCAATCTCTAGGATGCGTTTTCATCAGATATACGTATGTCAGGACATACTTTCGATTTGAGTCTGTCGATGTGATTTGAAAGCTCTCTGCCAGACTTAACCACAGTTACTGATTCCACATCGTAGTCACTGACTCCACACTACTAAAAAAAAAGAGAAAACATTAATCATAGTTTACCTGTGGCTGGGGGTAAATGTTGACATGCCTCAATGCCTGACGGTAGCTATTGGCTGCTGACTCGAATTCGCCTCGTTTCATGTACAACTGACCCAAGTGCACCATCGCTGAGACTTGCGCCGTCATGTGCGCTTTAGGGTCCTTCAATCCTTCCCCCGGAAGTTGGGAGCCCTTCGTCAGGATTTGTTCAGCCTCCTGTTCCTTCCCCTGAGTGGATAACAACTGACCCAAATTTAAATATGCAACTGAAACAAAAAAGAAAATAATCAAAATTAGAAACATAACTGACATACTTAACAAGTTGAGAAAAATTGGACCGCGTTTAGTATAACGGAAAGCCACATCAGCTATTGCCAAATTTATCGGGGCAATTTAATTTTTTACAAAAGAACGCTTGTGCGAAAATTTTAATAAATTTATGTCGTACTATGCAGAAAATTCAATGCAATTTGCACAAAAATCCGCACAACCTCTTTTAGGTAAGACATTAAATTGTCTAATTAAATGTGGCAATCGTTTACATGGCTTGGTTCCTTTCTGCTTAACGCGGTCCGATTGGGCTGTCGATTTCACAAGAATATAGTCCTGTTGATAGCTTTGAAATGCCAACTAGAAAAATTGTCGTCTCTTAAATTTTTCCCGAACTTATAAGAGGAACATACATGGACATCAACAGTAAGTTTAGGCTCTCAACGTCTAATCGAAGTAACAGGGAATCTACTAAAGGGAAATAGAAACGCTATTAACAGTCTTAAATGTCTGGTTACCTTAACCGTCATTCCAGTGACTTTAATAGGAAAACCAGTGACAGGAATGCCGGTGAGGATCTTATTAAAGTCAGTTAGGGCCTATTCCACTAATCAAATTTCGGCTTGGCAGTCGCAAGGAAATTTTTCTGAGCTATGTCGCAGAGGCTCCAATGCCCAATTTCAACGGATAAGACGCGTGCTTTCAGGAAGTACTAAAAAAGCTCTTCTATTCAAATGAGAGTGGGTCATATCGAAGGGCGGTTCGCGCTTACCAATGTTGAGCAAATAAAACATACTCTTAAAATTAAATTAGAAACGACTAAATAATAAAAAAAAAGATATATGAGCTGCGAGCTTTTTGTGATTCGTGATCGCGTAAAGAATTTAAAAGATTCAAGAGTTTCTGTCAAACGACCTGTGTGTCACAGCGGATCGTCATGAAAAAGAGGTAATTGCAAAGCGAGTATGCAGCAAACGAATTCCAACAAATACTCGACGCAATGCGAGAAATTATTTTATTTGCTCCCTCTTTGATAAGAGATCAGGGGCCTTACAATTCGGTACAAACGCCAGGCCGTAAGGGAGCTTCAGCTCGAGAGAAACCATGGCCGTGTTGACGGATTGAACAATAATTTGGAGCACTTGTAAAAAGGTACTTGGTTATTAGAAGAGATTTAAGAAGAATTTTGCGCTGTTTGGCGGCCCTGTTCAGGAGTAGATTTTCCATTGAGATGATATCAATGAGAGACATGGAGGGGGGTGGATTCGATTGTCTGAGCAGCTCAAGTCAGGTGGGTGAATAGAGTGACGAATGAGGAGGAGGGTATTGCCACATCGGCAAATTTCGAGACATTTTTATAATAATAGTGAACTTAACAAAAGCGTGTTCAATTGACTGACAGGAAAATTTCTATTTGAATCAAAAAGAATTTCTATTGAATATATATACATCAAATCAAAATCAAATGCAACGGTCAGCCCTAAATCTTCTTTTAAATCATTCCCATGAAGGAGTTCAGGTCGCACACAAAAATGGGCTTAAAGAATTTTTTTAAATCAATCTTCAAGAATCTTCATTTGGAAAAAACTTGATTCTTTTCTGTTAAACTTGATCTATTAACTCCTTGCATCAATGTCTGATGATGGCAATCTCTTGCATCAAGGACAGCTGCAGAGAGCTAGTTCCTAGAAATGACTCCAAGCACAGGTAACGAACGACGAAACCCAAGATACCACTATTCGAACGCTACTGTGCGCGATTGGTATCACGCCCAATTGAAGGCGCGCCGAGATGCAACCGCTGCGCGCCAGTGCCACGAAAAAACCGCTACCAAAGGGGAAAGACTTTTGAGAGGATTTGAAAGTTTTCAACCAGGACATTGAATAGCTGGCTGGAATTACTATTTAAAGTCAGCTCTTCCTCCCCTTCCTCCTTAAGTTCGATTGTATAATCGAACTTCAATTAACCGGTGCTACATTATCCGACGGGCATTTTGAGGTCATTTTATTAATTTTTAAAGATACGCCTTGTTCCTGAGGTTATAGTTTTAACAGCTCTTTTTAAATTCTTTTTGACGGGTTTTGTGAATTTTAAACATTCAGCTTTTTTAATATCCGCTGCATGTCTCTACCAAACACCGCCGGACAATCGAAGTTCGGCTTTACAAAAAAATTTCCCATTTTTAAAAGAAAAAACTCCACGCACACTGAAATGAAGTCTCTTTGATCCAAGGTCTAGACTCTCAAAAATTTAACAACCAAAAATACTCTTAATTTGTTCGGATTTTTGTTTGTTTTGATTGAATCGAGAGCCAAGCCTGTTAATTTAAGCGGATTTCCTTTTGATTCAAGCAGCAATCCGATCGAATCAAGAGTATTGTTTCTTTTCAAATTTTTCGTTGGGTCAGTGGGCTAATAGTTGAAATCAATAGACAAAGAAGACAAAAAGGAAATGGACGAATCGAATTGGTGGAAGCAGGCGGTTGCAATGGACAAAGAAGGTAGGTACCCTGGTACCAGACTAACTGACAGCAACCCCCGAGAAACCCTATAGTTAGTCCATCATATTCATCCTTCGTCTATAGGAACCACCCATTTCATCTAATAAGATCGCTCCATACTCCTTATGTCTTTTTTGTCTATCGCTTTGTCCATCAAGTTCAACAATTAGCCTACTGAACTCTAGAATCAAGAACCTTTTTTTTTTTTTCCGGCGGCTCAGTTTCTGCGGCATTCTATACTCCTTATGTTTTCTTTGTCTATCGCTTTGTCTATCAAGTTCAACAATCATCCTGCTGGACTCTAAATCCAGAAGACTTCTTTCCCCGGTTCATTTTCACACTGAAAAAACCTCGGTGTATTTACTAAGAAAAGGGTAAAATTACCAAGAATTCAGGGTTCGTTTTGATCCCAATTTTTTCTTGGTAAAATTGCCACTCATGGAATTGGTAATTTTACCGAGGAAACCTCGGTAAAATTATTGAACTTTCTCGGTGATTTTACTGGACCTTGATAAAAACGCCGATATTTTTTATCGACTGTGGTAGAATTACCGAGATAAAATGGCAAAGTTACCGGGAATTGATTACCAATAAAAGTGGTATTCTTACCTGAAAAAAAAAAAAACAGTATAAATACCGGTTTTTAGGAAAGCTTGCCAGTCTGTCTTGGTAAAATTACCAATAATTGGTAAAAAAAGTGAGATGGTAAAGGTACTAACGGACCTTGGTAAAAACGCCGAGAATTTTTTTTTCAGTGCAGGGGGGAAAACGCCGGGAAATTATGCACGAATCGACAGCGCGGGAGAGGCCGAGAACGGCAGGGGCGTATTTTCCCGAAGGAAAAACGATATCCGTACTATTGGCGGATGCCAACTTTGCGTCTCCTTTTTTAATTTATGCTTTGATCTTGCATTCGCGCGCTCCGCTCCGCGCGTCACCCCGGCGCGCTCTTTATTCACCTATCGCTAGCTATCACTTCCGCCTCTCCCCCTCCTCCTTTCCACCCCCAACCCCCCTCCCCGGCACGCGTGAGACGTGCCATACTGCCACCGGCGAGGAAATTAAACACTTTCCCTGTCAAACGTTCCCATGCAAATAAATCGATTCCGACTCCGCCACGCTCGGCTTCCTTATTTGAATTTTGAGCCTTTTGAACTAGAATTTCGACGCCGCGGAGATTTTCGGGGCTCCGGAATATTAAAAATAGTGGCTTGACGGGTGGGCGGGTATTTCGAGAGGGCGCAGAAAGTTTCCGAAGGTCGGGTTTTTGCCGATTTAGAAGTTTCGTTAAATACGCGAAAAAATGAATGCTTCGAGTGGACCTGTAGACAAGGTGACCATAAGGATAATGCATTGATAAAAATATTAATATTCTTTTCCCACGCAGGAGAAGGGATCGATGCAACTTTGCCGCCGTCCAAGTTAAAAATGCCGTTTCTCCATTCATCATTTTTTCAATTTTTTTCTGACAAAATGCTGCTTCACAAGAGAATTAACAATCATTCATCCATTATTTTTTTGGATCGATTCTGACATACCATTCAGAACTCTCAATCAAAAAATGGAGCATCGTTGCAATCGGGTTTTCTCGTGAAAGAAAAGTATCTGCGGGAGAAAAATTCAAAATTTGGAATTAAGTTACGGTATTTTTGTTATGGTCGGCAGTTTTGCTCTTCTTGCAACTCGGATTCGACGATAGTTTTATATGTTTTTGACTCTAATTAACTTAAAGTGGCTCTAAAATGACTCTAAATTAATTCAATTGCCTCGAAGCTCGAATGCTGCGAATATGTTGACTTGGATGATCTTCAATGTGGACATAGAATGATATTATGTTTAACAATGTATTTCTCATTAAAATGTCTCTGAAAACACGTTGATTCACATTTACAACACACGCACTTTCCAAAATTGGCTAGAAAGTGAGAAATTATCATCTGTACTTATTTGATTTTACATTATTAAGCTTTTAGTGAGCTTTTCAACTTAAGAGTGCCTCAACAAAATATACCGGAGTTTTTGAGTGTTCTAAGGCGTTATCTGGTCTTCTGGCTCGATGCAAAATGCCTCGTTTCAGTGATATCGATGACTGAATTACGGGACCACGCATATCTATTTGTGACGTTGCAGACTTTCTATCATACTCTATTGTTTCCTATAGTCAACGTAATTTCTTTCAAAATTCTTTGACGTTCCACCTCTGCTGGCAGGATATTCCATGTAAATTTGAAGCCATATAGTTGGTCTGTTCCTCTTTAAAAAAGTAAAATGGGAATGTAAAATTTGAAACTTAGCTATGGAGACACGTGTTTTCGCCCTCTGGCCATCTATGTAAGGGCCTCATGGACTTTCAAGCCTCATGGACTTTCAAAGAAATTTTCGTCGAACTAGAAAAATACGGGAACAATCACGGGGACTTGATTTCGATGATGAAACTACAGGAATACGCATCCAGATTTGCGGCGTTGCAGACTTTCTGTCCTACATGGAAAACTACTGAACGTCATGTATTGAAAATTCAGTGATTTTTTTTTCTCTGGGTAAAGAATATTGTGTAAGAACTTCAAGCCGTGATGTTGGTTGAGTCCGGAAAACAGAGTTGGAGTAGAAATTTTGATATACCGTAACTGAGACACGCATTCTTGCAGTTCACCGCCGACATTGTAATGCAGTTTTTATCGTCAAAGTAAAGGCCGAATACACGGAAAACTTAGGTAGCATTTACCATGTTCTGGTTGATAAACGGCACAACCAGAGAGTATGGTAACTTTCATCAACATTATCGTGAAGATAACAAGACTTTTCCTTGTTGTGACATTAATTTTGGTGGAAGTTACCATGTTGTCTGGTTGTGCCGTTTTTTAACGAGAGTATGGTAAATCTGCCGTGCTGAGCAAGAACGTCGTAAATCCATCAAGATTTTCCCTTGTTTTTCGGAACTTAACACCTTATAGAATAAAAACTGTTTTACCTCTGCACCTCAAATTTTCAGGTTAAATTCTTGATAGTATTTGCAAAAGAGTTCTGTAAAAACATCACCCCAAAGTACACAAGTTTTTCTGCTGTATGATCCATTGCTTCCAAAAAATGTAAAATGGCGTTAACGGCGTTTTTGCGTCGCAGATATTGCAGAAACACTGAAAAAAAAATTCTCGGCGTTTTTACCAAGGTCCGTTGGTACCTTTACCATCTCACTTTTTTTACCAATTATTGGTAATTTTACCAAGACAGACTGGTAAGCTTACCTAAAAACCGGTATTTTTACTGTTTTTTTCAGGTAAGAATACCACTTTTATTGGTAATCAATTCCCGGTAACTTTGCCATTCTATCTCGGTAATTCTACCACAGTCGATAAAAAATATTTGCGTTTTTACCAAGGTTCAGTAAAATTACCGAGAACGTTCAATAATTTTACCGAGATTTCTCGGTAAAATTACCAATTCCATAAATGGTAATTTTACCAAGAAAAAACTGGGATCAAATAGAACCCTGAATTCTTGGTAATTTTACCCTTTTCTTAGTAAATGCATCGAGATTTTTTTTCAGTGAATGCAACCTAACTTTTTTTCCGTAATACAAAAAAGAGTGTAGCATCTTGAAATCGTCTTAGTTCCCCTGCAAACGCGCAGAAAATATTCATTTCCCTCCGAAAACTGAATAGCGTACAGAGGGGAAAAAACACCGCAATAAAACGACCCAGCACTTAATAGCGAGGGCGTCGTTTTCGGGGGGTGGGAGGGGGGCAAAAGGGCGGCAGATACACCGAGGGCTCGAAAAAGTGGGGTCGAAGAACATGACTCAGGCCAGGAACCGCGTCAAGCGTTCCGGGGCCTGCGAATAGCGACAGGTTGAGGTGATATAAGGGTTATTTTGATTGAATTTTAAATGTAATCCTCTTACGGGAGGCCCGTCGTTAAAGGGTTTAATTTGAGTACACACTTTAATTTTGAGAGGGACCCGACCCTAACGATCACGGGGCTCGAGAAACGGGCCAAGGGTTGAACACGCACAAATTTCAGTAAGGTCGGCCCAAGCGGCAGCGGCTGTTGAAAGTGAGCACTTTAAGCCTGCCACCCCCCGGAGAGAAAATTTCCTCTCTTCGTCCATATGATACTAATTTCGGTCCTGTTTGTTTTTTAGATCGTTCAAAATTAAGAATGATTTTTTTCGTTCTGTGATAACAACAATCAGGAAAATCTGACGCTGAATAGGAAATTCTTAGCAAAAACAGAATTGAGGGGCCTGGAGGACAAAGCGCATAATTGCAGTTTTCTGAGATTTTCAAAAATTGAGATGTTCAGGATTTCAGGTAAAACTTGCCTTAATGAATATTTTGTGAAAAATTTGCTTCCAAATTCAAATTTTTAAGCATCAAAAAGTTAGCTTCAACTTTCTTTTTGCCGACTACTTTAGACAAATATTTACTTCATAAAGGGGGAATTTGGCAGCACTTCAATGTTTATACGGCATTCTTTCCTACAGCAGAATAGGTCTTGCTACAGTAACTCCCTTGTTAGAGTTATCAATATGCAGGGAGCTCTAATTGATTAAGACCCCCAGCACCGAACGAAATCCGAAAAGACCGAGTTGCGGGCACCATAAGAGGCGTACTCGACGAGGGGATATTACATGCGATAAGCATTAAAAAAAGTGCATTAGTTTAATAATGCCAAGCTTTTAGCGGCGAGTCTAGTTTGAGTGTCTGTCCCGCCTCCTAACGTTTCCCGTCAAGGCGATTCCTTTTCATTTTCCCGCGCCCGGCCTGGCGATCGGCGTTTATTTCCGGTACTTCCCGATGTCGGTTTCATGTTCCGAAAGACGTAAAATCGCAATTGAGCAGTTTACTCGAAGAAAAGCGTGAATGCTATGTGAATGCGATTGCACTTACGTGATTCTTAGAGTGGGTTGTTCAATTAAACCTTATCGGCGGCAATCGGCGAGCGCCAAGATCCCTTGTCTTGATCGAGCTTTGTTTGACGTTCCTGTTGAATAAATGATGGAGGCCTCTCTCGGCCTAACCCTCTCGCATTAACTTTTCATCCCTGCGGATAAACAAGCGATTGCTCCCCTGATTTGAGCCGGCCGTCGTTTTTGTCGGGTTTTTTTCGACTAAGCACTGAGATAGCGTGGAATGAACCGTGGTGCCAGGTGGTACTGTTTCAGGCAGTTCTTCACGGAAAAAAATGGATTGCTGGTTTATCAATTAAATTTCGACGGTGTAAGTCGGCGATCACATAGCTCGGTTTGCGACGTCGCAGACTTCCGGTCATACTTTATTTTTTAAACGGAAAACTACTCAACGGCAATTCTGTAAGGCTGCCTTGATTTTTCTTCTCTTTGCGAAGAGAATTCTGTAAAAACTTCAAGGAGTTATGTCGATTTGTTCTCCTTTACAAAAATAACATAGAGGCGGAGGTTTTCAGACACCGCAAACGAGTTATGTGATTGTCGACTTACACCCTCGATTTTTGAAAAATATGTCTAACGTGTTTCAAATGTACATTTTACAATAGAGGAAACCACATATATTATGAGCATTTAAAATTTAAATTTAAAGGGCATAAAGCATTTTACAATAAATTTAACAACGGGGGAGGATAAAATTAGCATTCTTCTATTGTAAAATCTACATTAAAACATATCGGTCACTTTTTTAACTACAAAATTTTTAAATCAGTAATTCGCGTGTTGTGGTTCCTTTAACCTTCTTAGCTCCCAGCGGGCTGATTGTTGAAATTGAGAGACAAAGCGTTAGACAGAGAAGACAAAAAGGATATTAAGGGATCCTATGGTGGAAGCGGGTGTTAGCAATCGACAAAGAGGTAGGTAATAGACTAACTATAACGGCAACCCACGAGAGACCTGATATTTATTCCATCATTTACCCCTTTAGTGTAAGAACCACCCTTACCACTGTGAACTTTCTTCTAGTTCATACCCTGTCTAGTGTTCCATTGTCAATGACCATCCTGAAGAATCTTAGAGATAGTGATTCAGGTAATTCAGAATCCATTAATTTTACATTTAATTATAAAACATGTGTTTACTATCAGCTTTACATTACGGTTTAACTCGCTTCTGATTAATGACGAAATTTTAGGAATTTACTCACCGGCTAAAGATGGTCTGTAATGGATCGCAAGTTTGTAACATATAATTGCCTCCTCGTGACTGCCTTTCCCTTGCAACAGCAAGCCCCTAAAAGCAAAAACAGTTACTTGTTTATAATTTGTCGATCAAAATAAAATCAAGTACAAATGATGGTTTTTCGTTGAAAAAAACAATGTGCAATGAGTAATTTTACGATTTTAAAATTAAGTTACAATCTTTCGTACGCGAAATGACGAAAATTACGCGCCATTCAGCGTGAGATGGTCTTGGATCACTGGGAAAATAAGTCGCTTGGATCTAGAGTTCAGACTCTAATTAACATTTACAAGAAAAAATAATCTTGATTCAATCGGATTTTTCCTTGGATCGAAGAACGAGGCCTCTTGATGAAAGCGGATTTCCTTTTGAATCAGACAAAAATCCGATTGAATCGAGAGTATTTTTTCTTGTCAATGTTTTTAAAAGTCTGAACTCTGGATCCAAGCAACTTTTTTCCAGTGATGTTGGTTGTTTTGAAAAATAGAACATTGCAGATGAGAAAAAAAATGCAACATGAAAAACGAAAAAAAAAAAAAAAAAAAAAAAAAA